TTAGTTCCGATGGAATTCGAATTACCTTTGATAAATGAAGATATTCTTTGAAAACAAATTACTTTATATAATTCATAGCACTCTATGAACACATATCAATAGTTAAATATACGGAATTTTTAATCAGGCGATGCCTAAACAATAGAGTTAGAGAGGTTAAACATTCATTTGAATACTTACCGGTAAAGTAGCGCCCGCACCCAACATGGATGCAAACTAAGAGCTTGATTACAGTTTAACACTGCCTTTCCAAGACGGCCTACAGCGCCAAAATGTGCGGCTCTTATAAGATAGGCTAGTTCTAAAATTTTAGAACTCTGTATACCTTTTCTTGATTTCGCTTGTAAAATAACAGAATGTGAAAAACTTTATTAATTGCTAATGGGTAAATAAAATAGGCTAAGCAAGAATTCACATTAAGTTTGATGTATGTAAAATTTAGGATTATTAACAGCTATAATAGTAATTAAATATTTGAGGTCATTAGAGTGTGAAATATATGCTAACTAGTTGAGCTTCTACACATTAAGATTTTTGTTATATTCATTTTTTTAGAGACTAATTTTAACATTTTCCTACTAAAACAAGGCTATAATAACTCATATACTTAGAAAGAAGTGGCATTTTAATATGAATATACCCGGGTAAACAATTTAGTTTTACCGATTTGCTATATAAAAAAGTTTAAAATAAAGGAAATTTCTAGAAGTATAAAACCAGCCTTAATAGATTTAAGCAAAAATTCTTCTTGGAAGGCCTTTAAAAATGTTTGAAACGTTATATTTTCTTACTATTAATTAAATTTGGCTCAGCTTCAGAAAGAGCGAAGACTCGTGACAGACTATTTAGCCCACGTACGGCACCATTTAGTACCATAATAGCTTGCCCAGAGGCGGCAGTCGACGTATGATTCTTTGCGGTCTCGGCATGTATCAGTGATTGCTTCAAAGGAAGAAGTGATGGTGATGATTGCAAAGATTGTGTCAAGGGCATTAATGATGTTGACTTCGGTGGTGCAGATGTTCGGTTTGGCAGATAATGCGACGGCATACTGCCATAGAGGGCTACTTTACAGTCATCTAAAACAAGAGGAGCAGACATATCTGAATCTTCTTTGGACTGACCGGATCCATAGAGACGAAGCTCGCAGTATCCGCGAAGTAAGTTGGCCTATTAATAGGATGGGAAAATTGAAGAATTGAGAGGACGCGAGACAGGTTCATATGAATAGTATGTCTCTCAGAGACTAAGGAAAGAAATATGTGGAAGTTATAGCTCAGTATTCATACTAGTTAGACAAAATCGAGTTAGAAATGTCTGTTTTTCAAATTCAAGGGCCCACATGACTAACTTTTATAAGACGAGGGTTTATTTGTAACGCAGAAGTAAAGGTTCCGAGTGCGGCGCGATATTGTTCTACCTCCATTTCGCAGGTTCCGATTAACACATAAATGTCAGCTATCTCTTCAGGCATAGGAAGAAAAGGATTTGTAGGTTTCTAAAATGAGAAAAAATATTGGTTTGTGGAATAAGCAAAAAAACATTTAGAGGTTGTTTGACTTTGTTTTCGCAACATGGTCATATTAATGGGAAGACTTAGATGAACGCACCTTGTCTGCATGATCATTTCCATGATCATGAACCAATTCAAAAAGGCTAAATGAAAGGATTGACTTACAATTGTCTTCTTTGTCCGGCTGTAATCAGTGCATTGTTTGGCAATATTACTTCCATATTTTAATCGAAGGTATGAAGACCAAGATGATGCGGCCTTTTGTGTGGTCGCAGTCTCCTTTCGTTGTATAGAAGTTGTTTGACCTTGTTTCGCAACATTGTCATATTGGTGGGAAGACTTAGAGGAACGCACCTAGTCCGGAGTCCATTGTTTGCATGATCATTTCCAAAGTTGAACCGTGGAT